AACTCCAATGTATTGTGATTCGTTTAGAGATCCATTTAATTGACAAATTATTTAATTTGCCAATGTTGTCCATAATTAAAGTTGTCAATTAGATTATGATGTGACTATTATGTTTATTTTCTACATAGATTGAGAAGTATGACGACAGTCTTTAATGGAAGTTGATGCTGTTGTGTTTCCGAATTTAAGAATAAATAATATGAGCCGAAAAGGACATTGCTATATACTTAAGTTAGATAGAACTAGACTCATTAGATAAAACTAGGCTCAACTAGGCTCATCAAACCAGCAAAGAATTGCAAGACATGATTTGATGAGAATTTGCATCATCAAGTTTTTTTCAAGAACTTCCTAATATTGATGGAAAAAAAAAATGTCGCATTCGACGATCGACTAATTTCACAGAGTTTAGAATGAATTAAAACGATTAATCTGAAATGAATTGCATACCATTCTGTATATTTTATTCTTGCAAACCCAAGATTTCCATGTCAGTGATTCTCGAGGAAATTTACTCCTTGTCAATTTATTCTTGGTTTTCATCCTAAATACACAGAAGTACCTGGAGATGCGGGGAATTCACGACAGGAACGTAGTAAAGATGTCTTGCCAGATTGCAATCTAATTCTGTGGTTATATCGCATCAGAATATGCGCTTCATTACTTTCTGAAAAAGTTGTGAACTTTTTTAGTTGCTATGCCATTCAAATTACATCTCCCGAAAGTTTCATCGAATTTCAAAAACTTGTGAATATTTAAATCTTTTCTAAGATTTTAACACTTTCTCTCCTTCAAATTTCTTCATTTAATGTTTTTACACACCTCATTAACAGTATTATATAGTTTATTTCTAATCTTCAACTTTTTGAACCATTTTTGCAATCATTATCAACCCCACATTCCATTTTTATTGCATTAAGAATTATCAAATGATCAATCTTTGATCTTTGGATCAATAATGAAGAAAAATAATTTGTGGCTATCCAATTGTTCAAATGGGTTATATTTTCAGAAATGGAGCGAGAATTGATTGAAAATGATGAAAAAATACCGTTCCTGTTAATCTTTGCCCAACATTATGATCGAACGAAACTATTCGAATGATTAACTACAAAAGAGAATGAATCTTTAAATTAACTCGTGACAGATATTTTGAAAACCAGAAGAAGTTCCGTGAAAAATTGCTGAAATTATCAAATTTTAATTATTAGAAACCAATAAATCTCAGGAGTCCGAATCAAACCGGTGCCTGTTGCATTTGCACATATTTTCTGGTCGTTGATCTCATTTCAACATTTGCTATATTCTTTCACTACTTTCTCGTACTTGAACGCGAATTTGAAAATTTCTGGAAATTTTAAAAATTAAATATATCAATATCTGTTATTAAAATACTAAGCGCTAACACGACAAGATGCTCGATTGCTTTAATTGAATTTTCTATTTCTATTTGATCTCTCTCGAAATTTTCTTTTCCAATAAGTTTTTTGCAACTCACATCATTGGCGGAAAAATTTCAATTTTTATTGATTTATGTGTGGAATGTACAGTCCTGCAAAATTTTAGATAAGTTTTAATATCCATGGCGAATCTAAAACTAATTAAGTTCTCAGTAAATATTAAGTTACTCAAAAATTGTGCACTTTTGGTTCATTACTGTACCCATACTAATTTGGTACTTTTTCACCTGAAATAAACATTTTTATTAAAATATAATAAAAGTTTCAGAAATAGAGATTTCCAAGCTTCCAATCGTTATAAGTGGTTTTCTAATTACGGTGATGTCACCAAACCTGACAATACAAACATTGAATGGACTCACGATTTGAAGTGATGATTAAATGACAACACCGCATTAGTAATTAATGGCATTTGATACAACTAAGGTAGGTATCGGTCCTGACTGCAACTGACTTGTGGCATTTTCCGAACTGATTAACATCAAAAAAAGATACCTATCTCGCCCTAAGGTTCATTTCATAGCAGACAAAAAGAACCAAAAAATGACATCACAATATCAAAGTTGAGGATTGCAAAACAAATGGTAGTACTGAATGGTCAAATGCATCTTTAGTAAATGTATTGAATCGATGCTTACAATCAACACAAGATGACACAAAGCCTAACGAGATTAGCCCTTCTATCTATAAAGGCTACTGCAACTGGAACTTGTCAATTTTCAGATTCCCCCGAATTTACCGCTCATCGGTAAATGTAAAAATCCAGGCAATTCTGGTGGCAGAATTTTGGAATAAAAATATCCGTATAATTCGGACATTATCCGAAAATTTAAAAAATGATTGATAAGTTATTTTTGAGCAACTTATACTTTAGAAAACTAAATGATAAACTATTAAACAATACTGTTTGTAATGAATAAAAATGATGCTTGAAATGAATATAAAATCAGCATAACTGCACTGCTTTGCATTATCCGTATTCTTAACGTTTTTCCGAATTCACCGGAATGTGAAAACGGTTGTTGTTGTTGTTGTTGTTGTTACTTTGAACTTCATTGAGCAATCAGGAAACAACTACAGATTAATTCTTGCTAAAGATTGTCGGGTTGAGAAATTTTTTTTTTCAAACTGAATTCAATCTAAAATTTCTACGACCTCTGTTCATGTTCGTATTTCGACATGGGATATGAGGAAGGACAGATCACTTCACTTTGGCATAAGCTAGTAATTATATTAATGTTTTGTCAGAGATATCGTTGTACTGAAATGTGTGCTTAGTTAAAATTTATATTAATTAAACATTTGGGAAGAAATATGGCAGTTAGCCAATTATTAAAATATGATATCGTGTTGAACTATAGCGGTTTAGCTGAAAAAGGTTAAACAATATCAAGAATGATTACGATGATTTCGTAATTATTCTATTTTCAGATATCTCCCTTACTGTTCTTGTTTGAAATATCTTTTCTTGGTTCTGGGTTAGATCATTGCTTCTTTGATCCAGGATTAGGTCACTGTTACTGTAATCCTGAGTTAAAGCTAAGCAGTAATTTTCCTAAATTCTTTACTAGCTTTTTGACTGAAATATAAGTGTCACCAGCAATCAATTTTTTTATCTAAATTAGAATTCAATATTTCCGCATCGCTTCAATAAAATGACAAATATTTTCGTCCATGGCTTCTTTATCCTTTCAAATCGAATCACAGAATGACAATTAATAATTATGATCAGAGGAAATATTATGTGTATTTCGTCGTCCATATTACGATTATTGTTTAGTTTTTTCGAAGGATGAATGCTAAACATATTTAATCTTAATATGTTTAAATCAGTCATTGGTGCGGTGATATTTCCTCAATATATTAGGTTGTTGCAACAATGTCAGTGGCAGCGGTGATAATAATGATTAAATCTTATCAGTAACTTGATAATAATATCATTATAATTTGAAACAAATCAAAAGAGAAAAGATTGTTAGAAAAAGAGAGATAATTATTGTTCCAATGATAATAAGAGTACCTGACGCAATTCAAAATATCTGAACTGAGAGAAATAATTATCGTGTACAATTCTATTGCAAATTGCAAGTTTATTGAAAAGGTATTCGACAAGTTCTCGCATTTTTATTAAAGTTATTAATTTTCCACCAAAGTTTTTTGTCAAAGTTATTAGCAAAGTTATTAGCTTGTTTTTACCGAAGTTATAGCTATTGTTTTATCAAAGTTATTAGCGATATGCAACCAAAATTTGGCCTCAAAAAAGCGCTTCCAATCCATATTGAAAAGAAAAGGATAATAAATAAGAAATTCTAAGCAAAAAACAAAAATCTGATAATTAAATTATAGGAATTTAGTGGCCAAAACTACATCCTTTTTGGTACCAAAAAATATTTTGCACTCGCTCAGGTAAATTAGAGAATTATATGATTGGGAGGTAAAGACTTATGAAATTAGCCTCAGTGGCTTATTGAACCAAGTTTTATGTCATCTTCATTAAGCATCGATGAGATTTTCGGCTATTGTCATATGTTAATAGAATCTTTGGCCAGTGTCTCTTATGGCCAGTAAGATTTAGACTAACATCTATTATCCTATTTTTATCATACTTTTCCTGCAGAATCAACTGCCATACTTTCAAATTTAATAGGTCAACACTGTTGTGTGCAAACTTAAATTAGCCTGTTATTTCTCTGTTCCCTATGAACTTCTCGACCTTTCCATCATTCGTAAATTTGAAGTTTACATCCCAAAATAATTCGTTCATCTAAATAGGATGTTGCCATGTTGAAAACTTTGCTTCAAGTATTTGATAAGTTGAAAATAACTTAATTAAATGTATGTTTGAAAGAATGACAGATTTCAAACTAATCCACGTCCAAGGAATTTTAATAATTTCAATTGATAATAGATTGATACCGCTGATATTCAGAAAAGTACAGTAAAATGAAATTACCAAAAGAATTTCATTTTATGTTCTCCATTTCTTCCTGCAGTATTTTGTCTGAAACCTCTCGGAATTTTTCAAGTTTCTCCACTTTTCCTCATCCCGTTCGTCTCCCGATAGGCGAGCCTAATTGGGAAAATGAAGTTATTGAAATAGCTCAAAGAAACAAGACATCAAAAAAAAATTGATGTTTTTAAATTGACGTTTCAATACCGGTACCGTAACATTGGTACCTTAGTTACAGTACTAACTCTTGACAGTCTGGACAGCCTCATTATGAACTGCCAGAGCAGATTAGAATGTCCCTACAGCGATTGATCTAAAATCTCCCAAACTGTTTTATTGCTTGCTTCATCCATATAGTTTAACCTGCTACTGATTACCCTAAATTTTCTATTAGTACTGCAACTAAGGTACTAATATTACAGTACTGGTATTGACACGATAACATCAGTACTGTCATCTTGCTGCCACTAACACAATCTCAATGATATATGGTACAGCAGTCCGCTCTCATTACAGTAAAAGACCACTACAATCGTTACGACCATCCATTCTCATCCCACCCGGATTGCAGTTCTCGTCATTGTAGCATATTAAGTCGGTCTGTCGGCTGGCGGATCGAATGTTTTTCGAATGTGCAGGAATGTTTCTGGTTGTTTGTTGTTGTTGCGGGTGTGGTTACAGGGGAATATCGACTGGTTTCGTTTGACAAACATTTGGAAAGTTGGGGGGTGAATATGACGAATAATTTCTATATTATCTTCAACTTTGGCCTTTATTTTCATAACGGCCATATCTTCTAATTACTCTTTTCGTTAACCTTTGACCTTTCTGGTTATTAGTGGTCACAACAACATGTTATTGAATTCTTTGTTATCAGTTATTTCTGTCTCGCTTATTAAGATATTTCTTTCTCTCGTATTCATTGAGCTTAGTGCTAGTAGTAAGTAATTCATCGGAGCTTTGACCCGGATCACTTCAATGGAAAGACATGTATTTCATATATATGTTGCGCCTCCCTGCTTGTCTTCCCTTTTCACTGATTATTTCTGTCAATATTGCTGAAACTGATCAGCAACATCGTTGTTTTTGTCACGATATCAGAAGAGGCGGGGTTTGCCGATGCAATCTTATTGACAATTCGTTTGACAATCAGTCGTAGTCATAATTTTTAACAGTCATAATTTTTTTAAACCCTAAATTATTGGCATTAATTTCTGTATGTTATTACTGTAACAGATTGTTATTTATTTCATAGCTAAAAAAGAAATTAGCGAACATAGGGATTGAAGGAGAAAAGAAAGGGGAACTAAATGCAAGCAAGGGAGTGTAGGAAAGAGGTCACTTTTGTCATCTGCTTACACCATTGCCCCCAGTATGTCGTGACCTCCACATTTGTATTTCAAAATTTCGTACTTTTGTATCTTATCCTTTTGTTCTTTAGGGCGGAAGTTGGATTAAATTATTCATGGTGTTTGGGAAATTTTCATAAAAACAACTTTTCTTATTAATTCGTATCAGTTACTTATTCTTAGTGAATGTGCAACTTATTTATTTTACATTTTACAAATTAAATTTCGTTGTAAACTTGAATTCTAACTTCATTCCTAATTTCTGCCATTTGTAGGTGTTGCATGTGCTGCATAGTTGCGTAGTTATGAAGTTCCATAGTTATAAAGTGCACAAAATATTACTGCACTGAATTAGCTGGTAAGATCGATATTCAAATATCTTCATTTTTTTATCAAAATGTGATTATTTTATTTTTAGACAGTTAAATTGTTTCATGGGTCGCATGAATCGGCGGTGTACTGGTTCACGTTTGTTGAAGTGGTATAATGCAAAGTTGACTGGTAATCTGGATCGTAATCAAACGCTGTGAATAATAGCATGGATGTTCAACAAACAAAAAATGTGGAAGTGAAAAGTCTCGTACATCGGGTTTGTTGCTGTTTGCGAATAAATCTAAGTTTTGCTATGGATATGAAATTAGAACACCCTGTTAAATTCAGCTTGCTGTTAAGTGAGATCGGTAGAAATGACGACAAATAAAAATAGAGAAACTAGCGATAAACAAAAATGGAGAAACTAAATAAATAGGAAAGCATTACTTAAAATCATGACTACTAGTAGTAAAAAAGGTGATCAAATGCTGCTTAACATATATTGCTGCTTTGGGAACTGTATAGGTTATTTAATCTCACGTTAGGAAATTGTCAAATGAAGTTATAAGTTACTAGTTTCGTTTAATTCCCATGTTAAATGATGCATTCTTTTGGTTTGTTCAGTTTCGTTTCTCATTTAAAATCGTTGTAAAGTTTGGAGTATTCTGTTTCGAAGTCTAAAACTGATCAACGCAAAAATGCATTTGGTTGTATTGCTTATAGACAATGAAAAAAAATCAGTGTATATGTTTGTCTTTAAAGTTGATACTGGATTAATTGTTTTCAGATTGTGAACGATAAAAAGAGTTATTCCAAAGATGAACGCCTTGCTGCATGCGAACAACTTCAGCAAACTTTAACGCTTGCTAGTGATGTTACTGTATGTGTTATTAGTGAGAACTTTTATCAGTTGTGAAATAATGACTATGATTTTATCCCTTAGTATGCGAGGTTGTCATTGGTATTGTAATGATGAATATGACGATAATAGGGCAGTTATTAATATAATTTTAAAAGATTCAAGAAACTTCGAAGTCGATAGGCTTTTGAAAAAAGATTAAAAGATTGTTGCACTTCTGTAACAAGTTTTTATCTACAGAATATTGGATATGATTGGAAGAAATTGATCGAAGATTTGTTACACTGCATTAAAACTCGACAACAGATCGAAGTGAAACGCTGTGTTTCTGATTGTCTTGGATCTTTGGGCTGTATCATGTTTTCACAGTATAATGAGTAAATCTACGAAATCATTCATGTTGAGACAACCTTCCATAAATAGATAAATGTTGATTCCTTATCCCGTTTTCTGGTGATTTCATTGCTAATGGATCTTATTTTGAAACTTTCCCCATTCTATTGTTACTTACAATTTCTCTGGTTTTTTGCTTCATATGACTGTAACAGAAAATGCTTACTTTCCCCCGTCTGCTGTCTCTACTCTGTGGAGCGTGTCAAAATTATTGGTCTCTTACATCAAGAGGATTCATTTGTTTTGAAAATTACTAAATCAGAATAATTTTAAGTGATTCAAGAAGTCGCCCACATATCTTTTTGATTTCAGATACCTAAAAATAATGCTAAGTGAAGCGAAGCTTATCCCTGACAAATATGAAGATGACAAGGCGCTAGTATTGAAGGCTGTTTTTTCGTCACTAAATATGATTGGAACTTTTGCATGGCAGTCTCGTATTAGGCCTCAGGATATCGATGTATGTTATGTCTCTTTTGCATGCCGTTTACTTTTTACCGGAGAATGCTTCTCAGATTACAGACTTCCTCCGCTAAACGTTTCTTGTTCCTTTTAAGCATGCTGTGATTTTAATCGTATGTTTTCCGAATGCAATCATTCTAATTAGAATGCAATCATTCTCATTCACGTATATTTTGTAGATTCTATAATTTTTTTGTACCATTTCCAGGCACTTATGACTGCAATCAAGAACTGGCTTGAAGTTAACGATTCTTCCGTCGTGCTTATATCATTATTGGATACCTGTTTAGCTGTTTCCAAATATTTTCCTGCAATCTTTAAGCATAGCTTTGATGTTAGTTTACTGTATTCTTTGTTCGTTTATGCTCCTTTTATCGTAACACGCAAGACATTATGAAGTTTAATGGGATATGGCGTGTTTTTAATGCTCGAGTGTAGCCCTCCCATATCAGTAGTCATGCTTATTTGGATTTTGAATTTCATTTAATAATTTATTGATATGGTCAATGGGTGCAAAAATGTTTCACTTCCCCATCTTTTTCTATACAATTTGTCATCAAACAATTTTTCATGCTGATAAGTCGAAAGTGTCTCCAGTGCCGATTTATTTCTATTTGGATTCATTTTGGCAGTAGATTTGCGGCATATGTTGACTTTATTCTAATTTTGAATCTTGAGGAAAGCTGCAAATCAGATTTGTTGTAAAATACCTAATCTAGATCGCTATGATCTGACGTTGCGAAAATTTTTCGCAGTAAGAATTTAAGCCTTTTTTTTTACTGATATAAGCAATCTTTCTCAGGACATAGTCGATTTTACGGTGGGATGGTATATTGAACCAGAACAACCGATTGCAGTGTTAGATAAATGCCATCAGATGCTTTTTGAACTACGTCCTTACTGGCATAGTGCTGTACCGGCTGCAGTAACGCTTATGAAACAATTCCTTGATGATGCAAGTGCATATATTGAGGTAATTCCAAGAATTAAAATAACTTTTTCTGAAAGCCAAACTACGATATAAAGTTGGAAGACAAATAGGTGTTTATTAAGAGCTTATTACCGATCAAATCCATGGTTTCAAATCCTCTTTGCATATGAGACAAACTTCGTGTTTTCCCTTCAGTTTTATTATATATTTTACATTATACTAGCTTTGTCACTTTATTATATTTTGCCTTAATTCGGTATACTTTGCATTCCTTAAAAAATCATTATTTTCCTGCTCCAAGTTATGCCCTCATCGTGACAGCGTTAATTTATAGGATATCAAGGTGAATGAATCGAAACCAGAAAATATGCTCGCAAAAACAGCCGCGATCTTGCGGGCTTTAATAACAATGCTCGAAGTAATGAATACTGCTGTCAGTCCACTTGTATCAGATTTTACTGAAAAGGTTAACTGTCTATTTATGGTCCAATTTAATGCACAGTTTCTTTAAATCCCTCAAATTTTAGAAAAGCATTCGGTTGTTTTACATTTTACGAAGATCATCAGAACTGTTAACTTTGTCCAAGATGCATCCTTTGCTTTTGAGCATCGCATTCGTCTTTTATGCAAACCTTCAAAAAAGATTCATTTAGCTTTTACATTTTTTGCCGATGATCATATACGGGCACAATGTGGATTCGTCGAAGCATGTATGAACTGTTCCTATCGTCTTAAAAATTGCTTCCTTAAATTTTGCTATCATGATAAATTATTGTAAACTTTTTGAGGTTTTTGGGCGTATCATTAGACTCTTAACTCATCTTGACGATGTTTTTGCTGCCAAAATTGGAACTGTGTTTGGATGTATGGCTGAAGTTTTATGTGTAGCTTTAAAAATATGTCCGAAGCTTGATTTTTTGGTTGATTCAATGAAGACTTTGAAAATAATGCTTGAACATCCGTCTGTAAACGAAAAGTCGATGTTAAAGATACTTGGATGCAGTGGAAAGGTAAAGTGTTTGTTTTTGAATTTCCCATTTGTTTTTTAATACGTATTTTGAGCGATATGGATTATGTCATGTCAAGTTTCATTTCATATTTTATTGTACCGTACATTACATCTAAATTATTGAAACTGGTTTTTTGCATTCTAAATGTCAATAATGCATTCTGGAGTGAATATAGCGCAGAAAAATTGGAATGTCAAATAGTGCATAGTTTACCAATTAACCTTACTTTTTTTTTTGTTTTTTCCTTTTTTTTGAAATTATATCAGTGAAGTTTGAAAATGTAATCAAGGGAAAAGTTGCTTCCGTTAAATTAAGGTTTATTTCTTTGCAGATCATTGATAACATAACACCTGAAATGGTTGTGGAAATTGTGAATTATGTTGTCGGTGATGGTGGACCTTTGAATCATGTTGTTAAAAGATCGCAGGAAGTTATGCAAGCATATGGGAATGTTTTAGGAAAGCTGTTGGCACCGAAAAATTTGTCGACACTCCAAGTAGCTTATAATCAAGTTCGGGAGGATGTGCGGAGTAAGTTTTTCTCTTCCATGAACAAACTCATTTGCCAACATTTTCGGTAATTATAATTGATAGAAAATTCTCGTACATAATTTAGTGTTCTCATTTTTTAGATTGTCTGTGACTCGCAAAATTTTTAGTCAGTGCATCTCTTCTTTCAATTTTAGCAGAATAACTAAAAACTTAAAATCTCTGTATTTAGACCTATACGTGACCGCAGTACAGTTTTTTTTTTATTCGTCGAATGAAGCTGATTTTGACCTCTTTGTTTTCTAATATACATTGCTCTAATTAGCCAGATACGCGGTTACACCATGTTATTGTATATGAATTTGCAGACTGCTTAAATATGTTGCAAGCAACTGAAGTAGAGGCGTACTGCAATAATAGTCTGATGATAGAGAAAAAGCTGATGATATATTTCAATGCTCTCTACAGTCTTGGAATCGTTAAAAATTCACTTATCGCTGTAGGTTTTTTCTTTTCTGTTTCCTAATAGCTTTATTATGAGTTATTTTGTTGTCGATCCTTATGGTTGCCGTTTTTTGGTTTTTGTGATACGCACGACTCAGTCATGCAATGAATTATTTGTCTCGAATTATTTGTCAGTTATCATCTCCTCTTGAAACAAAGTGGTCTTTTATTAGATTTTGTTGAAAAAATGTAGCTCGTATAATGAATCATTAAATATGATTTCCAGATGATGGGTCTTTCACCAAGTCTTTTTACATTCCTGATGACGGAAACACCAATCACCAGGAAACAATTTATCATTAATTATCCTGGCTGCCATTATGCTTTACTTTATATTGTCAAAACGCATAGTGAAAAGTAAGTTTCTAATGCTTTCTATTTCTTTATTAATAACGGTATTAAATTGAGCAATTTTAATTGTTACGTAGCAAGAATACTCTGACCACCAATGTTCCATACATTTTCTTTCTAAATAATTTTTGTGATTATAGTTATTGGGAATTTTTATGACTATTTTGAAAAATGTATGTCTTAAGAAACTTGATGTTCGCTAAACTGTCGTTTCTTTAATACATCGCAATGAAATACTTATGTTAATTGTTGTCTCTTCAACATTTCTGAATTTGAAAAACTTGCATAATGTTATGGAAGTGACTCGATAAAGAAATTTCAGACATGAAAATTTTGTTGCTAATAGCAGCTTGCTAATTGATAAGAACAGTCTAACACTTGTTACTGAGCCAGCAACAGCGAAACATACTACTATGATACTAAATATGGTAACGAAACTGCTCGCTGTCGATGATTTATTATGGGCTGATACGAGGTGAATTTTTCTAGTTATTTCCTATATATATTTATATAATTCTTTATTTTTTGAAGATTGTTTTCATTATTACCAGATTCATTAAAGCCCGAGTCTTCAGTACAATTATTTCCACCGGTGGCGTTGCTCCGAGGCTTATGTTCGCCTACTGAATCTTTTTAAAAAAAATTTGACAGTCAGACTTTCCATGTAATTGATTAATTAAGTATAATTTTCATAAACTTATTTTCGAAAAAACTTATTTAAATACCTGAAATTCTTCAACTTTATTTAGAAATTTACTTGTTGATTGGATTCATGGCTTGGTTTTCTCACTAACACCAGATGTCCTGCAACACATACTTGATAAATCAGAAACAGTTGAAATGAGGGCGGCACTGCTGGATTCATTTGTGAGACATTCACTGCCAAAGAAAACACCACTGGATAACAAAATTTCTTGTAATCCAGAGGCTTTTGTTGCCCATTGGGGTGCAGGTATTAGTTTTGTCCTTCATATTTTACTAGTATCTTTGCAGTAATTTCGCGTTTGCTTGGGGTTATAATTTCTTGTGACAGTAATGTTCAAATAGAAAAATTGGTATACTCAGATAATTTTAAAATTTTATTGATTTTTAGGACCTTTTACATAAAAACTTTCCACAAAATATTCATTTTGGCAGGTTAGAAGCAAAAGCAAGATGTATTAACACAGATTTTCAGTGGCTAAAAAAAGCTGTTAACCGACTAAAACCATTTATCTAGTCTAAAAAAAAAGTGTTTCATCTGTATCATAAGCATTTCTGAGAACAGGTATGGCGGTTCAGCCGCGACACCACGGAAGATGCATCAGATGAATGATAATACCATTCACTATACATACACAAATCTGATTAGCTTTTATATCCAAATACACGAATTTCAGCAGCAACAAGTCATCGAGTTAGACATTTTACTTTACTTCGACGATTGGCCGTTTTTAACTTGGTCAAGAAAAGGCCTGAAGTAACTGCGAAATTCGTTAGACGTATCTTTGAGCAATGCCATTCTGGTTGTCAAAATAAAATAACTGGTATATGGCAAGCTACTCCTCCAGTACTTTTCATCAGGTGAACCTACATTACATTTATTGCATTTCTTGCTTGTACAGATTGTATCACTTTTTGTTATTTAATAGCCATTACGTAGAGTTGAGTGTAGTTAGAGTACTCATAATTTTGGTAGTTCAAATGATTTCAGCATTCCATTACTTTTTTTCCTAAGTTTCTGTAAATGTGAATAATTTTTCTTTCCAAATTCCAGTCTCAGTCAACTTTAATCGGGCTGGCTAAACAGTTTTTAATGAGTGGAACTAGAGTCATCTTTACACTTAAGACAGAGCTTTTGATTGCTTTTTTTTCGTTGAAGATTGAAGTTTATCGCAGGAATATTTGTCCCTTAAAATGAGTTATAATACTTTTTTTTAAGGACAGGAAATATCTTTTAGATAGGCGATAAACTTATGTGTTGACCGTTTTGTTGGTACTTGTTCTTTGTTAATTAAAACTTTCAAAACTCTTTTTTAAATGACCTTTCTTGAATGAAAACAAAAACATTGATTTATGCACTAAATTCCTGCACGAATCCTATATCTATTTTCAAGCACAATTTTTGAAATGAATTGCTAACTCCATTTGTTTCTTTCTGCACAACAGTTATATTTAATTGTGAGATACATGCATTTTTCTAATGACTGGGATGGCGTTTTCATGTTCCGATTGACAAATTAGCCAAAAATGGTATTCTTTCATGTTTCTGTAATTAATAGT